TTAAATATTTACATGTACAAAACCGTTTCTAAGACTCCAAAAAATATTTATACGTACTGCGATGCATAAAATGAAAATTGTTGTACGAAAAAATTTCATTTCAACCTCAATTTTGAGACTTTATAATAGTTTTAACAGATTATATTTCCTCGTCGAGGAGTGAAAATTGATATGCAACTATTACACAATATTCAATCACACACAGTATTTAGTTTAATGTTCACTTAAGACTTTCACACACATGCATACACGCAACACCATTTTTTAAACTTTTTTTTTTTTTTTTTTTGAATTTCCAGATGCACAAATTATTTTATTATTTAAATTAAGGACAGATGATACAAACAAACTTTTGTTAAATGAATTGAAAATAACGACTTGAGGTCCGAATTTAGAATTCCGACGCAAATAGGTTAAGGACTCTCATAGATACATCAGCTTATGCCGAGCTTCGGGAAATCGATTAGGAACTCAGGGTAAAACCGTACAAATAAATCTCGGCGAAAACTGTAAAATTACATATTTTCGAGGGGTCAAATTTTCGTGGTTTTAGGAAAATCTATTGATTCGGGGAATTTCATTTCTTGTATAAAGAAACACATGAGTACTTATGTATGTAACATTTTACATTTCGTTGTGGGCATGAATTTGTGGGTCTCTTCATACCTAGAAAACAGCGAAAATGAAACACCCCAAAAATTTGTGATTTCACAGTAATTAATATTTTTTTTTCAAACACTCTTACATACAGTCATTTCTCATAAATATTGTTAACATAAATCGATGTGTAACTTGTCATTTAAATATTTGAATGAAGAACTAAAACCACCTCGATCTCGCTTTACTTACTAAAATGACGTCACAGACTAGTTTGACACATAATTTCTCTATAATTGAGTCATATTTATTTATAATTGAGTCATACCGTCCTTTCTCATAAATATTGTAAACATAAATCGATGTGTTGCTTGTCATTTAAATTTTTGAATGAAGAACTAAAGCCATCTCGATCTCGCTTTACTTACTAAAATGACGCCACAGACTAGTTTGACACGTAATTTCTCTATAATTGAGTCATAGTTTGAATGCATTGATCACTATTTTACAGCCTTAATAAATTGAAAGGGAAAAGGCCTCAAATAAAGCCGCAGTAACTTCTGCCGGCAACCTTCTTCTTTAGGTTTGTCGTCAAGGTTCATACTAGCTTTACGATAGCAAAAATTCACATGACTGCTCATTCATTAATTTCATTCCAGAGTTCCACGTCTTGTTTCTGTGGAAACCTTACAAAAGGTCTGAGAAAGCCAGAGATAGATTGTTCTTATCTATGTCGAGGAAACCCTGATCAGTTTTGTGGGGGACATTGGAGGATTAGCATCTATAAAAATCGTAAGAACAACATTTAATGTATTTTAATTTTCCATGTACATACACCTGTTCTGTTTATTAATCTGTAAATTATTAGTCTGGTTTAGCTTTTCACAAAATAATCGAAAAAATGTAACACACAATTAACTATGGTTTCAAGCGATGTTAAAAAATATAGATCGTTAATATCAGAAATCTAAACAAATTTCTTTAGAAAATCATTCCCCCATCCAAAGAAAAAAAAATATTAATATAAGCCCCTCTCCTTAAAAGCCAGTCTTATTAAAGTCTTCTTCTCTTTTACTGGGTAATAAACAAAAAGTCACATACATAGATATGATGAGGAAGGATGCCTCTTCAAATATTATAAATTTCATGGCCGCAGGGTCAGGGTTCTGAAGTAAGTGTGATGCTCTATTGTTTATTTAGAGAAAATGCATTACACAAAACCTATATATCTATCATAATTTTTTTAAACATCTTCCCTGCTACTGGCTATAAATTAAACAAACTGTACAGTAACTACGTGTAGTTGTGATGAGAAAGAACGCCTTTTGATAATTGCCAATTTTATGGCCGTGGGGTCAGGGGTGTTGGTGTTAGGGCGAGGTTCTATTGATAAATACAGTGAAAATGCATAATTTTTTTCTTTGAAAATCTTTTTCTCTGATCTTGGATATTAAACAAACAAATTTGATTTATAGTGATGAGGAAGGGTGTGTCAATTGTTGATTTCGGGATCCTTGAGTCAGGGGTTTGTTGTAAGGGTAGGGCTGCATTGATTACAGTACTGTATATAGTGAAAATGCATTATGTTTTAAAAAATCTTCTTCTCTGCTCGTGTGTATTAAACAAACTAACTACATAAATAGTTGTGATAAGAAAGGATGTTGCTTCGAAAATTGTGACATTCATGAACGTAGGATCAGGATTTCCGGTTAAAAGATAAGCTCTATTTAGTATATAGTGAAAATGCATTTATTCTTTGAATATCTAGCTCTTCTTCTCTGCTCCTGGGCATTAAGCAGATGAAATACCTATATATCTATGATAACTAAGTGCCTCTTTCAGAATGTGAATTTAAAGTCTCTTGAGTCAAGGGGTACAGTAGTGGGCTCTAATTATATAGCGAAAATGATTTAATTCTTTGAAATCTGCTACTTGGTTTTAATCAAATATTTATGATGAGCAAATTTAAGATGTCTTTTCCAAAGCTGTGAAATGTGTGAACTCTGGGTCAGGGTTCCCTGTAGATAGGGGGTACTACACGATTGTGTATAGAATAATACTAAAAACTTGAAAGGTATGCTTTTTGTTTCCCTATTCTTGCTATGGGTATTAAGAAATAAAACTAAGCATTGAAGTTTATAGTTATGATGAGCACTGGTGCCTCTTTTAAATTTGTGCATGTTATGCACATTGTTTTCAAACATGAACCAAACTGGATGGTTGGAAAGTTGCAGCATGATGCACAGGTGACCGATAAGCCTTTTGTATACTTTTAGGAATGTTTTTCCATAGCATAAATTACAGGTTCTTATTTTTTTATTTGGTTCATTAAAACTGAATTCACTTGTTCATAAATGAAATGCATATATTTACAATCGCATTTGCTATTTTCGAAAGTACAAGCATATGAAATCGAAGATTAACGTACATGTAATAGGATAAAATCGACTTTAACATTGTAATTTAATTCATTGCCTTGTTTCAGAATACATGTATAAATGACTGGTTAAAAAAATAATCAAATTTTAAAATTAAAATTTATGAAATTTTTCTTTGCCAAATGATAGTTGAAAGCTTAAGATATCATATTCCAAAATTTAAGTTATATCTGGTGGTTAATAAAAAAAAAAATTTTTTTTGACCAACTAGTATCCTTAAGAAAAATTTTTCATTAAAGCATTGTTTTCAGCCAAAGGACTCGATATGTATAATAACGCTAAGATTACAATTCATCGTAGAGCTATGATGAAAAAAAATGAAAATTTAAAATAACGTTTTAGTTAACAGTTCCCAATTAAAGGACAAACTTTAGTAATGGAATGATATCAAACAAAAGCATTGTGGTAAAAGTTGGATTCAGGAGCAAAGTATTTAAACTTTTATACTGATTTATTTATTTATTTATTCACATAGGCTATACAATTCCATTTGAGTGTGAAGAGAACCTTTCACAAATAAAATGTTCACCGAAAGACGGAAAGAGAACCATTTGTGTTGTAAACAATGCAGAATTAGTCCTTAATGTTGCACCAAGTTCACGTAACCCTTCATGTGCACGCGGGGAGACGTATGGAAGACACGGGGATGAGATATGGGTTTCTGGAGAGTGTGCAGGGTTATTTACTGTCTGCTTTAAAAAAGGTACTGTCTTTCTTTCAACTTTGTATACCTTATGGAAATAAAATTAATCTATAAATATGTGAAACTTGTAATTACATTTGGAAATCGGTTCATTCAAGTGCATTTTACATATTCATCGAGTTCTTGTAAATGCCTACTATATTGTAAATATTTGTAATATTATATATTGATATATGTTAAAAGTATTATTAAGGGATACAGTTTAACTCAATATTGTGTAATGTTTCTTTCTCTGTTTTTGCAAGTGAAGAAAATGGACATCTCTAATGGTAAACAGCGAAAAACAGAGGAGTATTTTAAAAAACACATAACCTTGCAATTGGCTGAGTCTACATATTTACAAAATCATACAATTTGTTGAACATTGACAAACTTAAATAACCTGCATATTTTTATACAATGAATACATTAATATACAGTAAGATTTGTTTTGTATGAAAATCGTGTAGCAAATTTACGGTTATATCTAAGTTTGACATCTTTAGCAAAATTGAATTTAAAACAAATTTACAGATATAAAGATCTCACATATTTGGAGTTAAAGGATAAATTAACGGATTTTGTATCCCCTACGGAAAAAGGGAAAATTGCCCAAACTCGAAAATCCTATCTCGGGGGGGGGGAGAGCTTTTTTTTCAATGCCACCTTTCTTTCTCTTCCAACTTTTTTGCATAAATTACTACATTTTCTTGATATCACTTTACGGTTGTAAGAAGTGGGGGGACCAACCTTTCAATGAACATTTTCAATAGTAAAGGTTATGTTGGGGAAAAAGGTGGGGGCCCAGGCCTACGTGCCTGTATAGAGGAAAGTAAATCGGCAGGTCCCCAGGACCATTATATCCGAATTTAACTGTATCCTTAAAATCAATTCGATTGAATTCAAAATGTACAAAAATTGTTTTTTTTTTAATTGTTTATGTGAATATATTTACCTTTCACAAAATTAGCTAGAAAACTTATGAAATTATGTTGAAATTTTCATTTTACATGTAAGTTATAAATTTTACTACATGTAATTACTTTCAAAGAGCTATACATACATGTAGATATTGTTTTATAGATCTATTTTCGTTAATGATGAAGATCCATGAGTGTTTGTGTTTAACCTTTTGACTACTTGAAAGTCTTTATATAAATTATTTTACAGATTGTATACGAACAGCGGACGGCCATGATTATAAAGGTAGCTGGAACAGAACACAATCTGGTAAATCCTGTCAGGAATGGTCCTCACGGGACCCACATAAACACAGATTCAACACTCTTACAAACAACTATTGCCGTAATCCCAATGGAATGCCCCACCCTTGGTGCTACACAAACGACCCTAAAACAAGATGGGAATTCTGTGGTCTACCACTTTGTGGTAAGACAAATATGGTTTTATCAACAATATTGTATTCAATTCTGTATTGATAATGCATTTTATACTGATACAGCGCATGCATTTTACTCTTAATTGTGTCAAAAAGATTTTTTCTTTAAACGAACAGCGATACATGCGATATGTCAACCAGAAATTAATTAAAGAGTTTAAATCTTTGAATGCAGACATATTACTATACATTATTACTGCTTAGTGAAGTGACTATTTTTGTATTATTAAGATATAAGCATCATACAACTGAATAAGAAAATTTATCGAATAAAACGTATTATATATTATCAAAATTGAAACAATTAAAACGTTCATTATTCGGATAAGTTTAAGATAATTAGATATAAATATTTATAGACAAATATTGATAAAATGAAATAATAAACAATAATTATCAAATAAAATGGTAATATATCACATACATCATACATGTGTTTGCGTTTATGATAAAACGTATCTTTGTCTATACCACAGCTCCTCCGACGTCAGAAAATGCAGAAGGTATATCTGTTTTTTCTCCTCTTAATTTTTATCTGTTACCTGTATCTACAGTATGCATCGATTTCTTTTTTTTTTTTCAAAAATCCATCAACAAATTATATCAATTTCTCATTAACTTAACTTAGAATGTTTATTGGATCCAAGAGGAGAAACTTATTTGGGATTAAAGTCAACAACCAAGTCGGGCTTGACATGTCAAGCGTGGTCGATCCAGTCTCCCCACGCCCACGCCTTCAGTCGTCTCCTTGACAACCAGAAAAACTACTGCCGAAACCCAGATGGAGAGCTAAAACCCTGGTGCTATACGACCAACAAAACTAAACGTTTTGAACTTTGTGAAATCCCAGATTGTGGTAAGCTTTACTTCTCTACGATTTTTGTTATCATATTAATGCAGGATTAGAAAATCCGTCAAAAAGATGAATTTAAGCTTACATACATTGTACTTTTTTCATTTAATAAGTGATGTTTCACATTGTGTAATTAACTTTGGGTTATTCGGTTCATCTTATGAATAGAAAAGTCTAATACACGTAGACCTCTTTGTTTCTTAATATCTATCTTATCGACTTCCCGTGTTTCTCTCTGATATATTTATATCCTTTATAAGATTTAAAAGATATATCTTTGACTTTATTATTTATAGCTATTTAAAAATATTTCATGTAAAATTTAAAAGCTTAAAATTTAAAAAAATTACACTGAAAGATCAATAGATGGCTTGAATCTGAAATAAAAACTTTGAGTCTGTATGTTTCGAATTACTCCATCTGTCTATCATTAACACTTTAGAGGTTTTACTACTCGTCTATGCAGCTAATTCGTCAGTCCTTATTGAGCTAATTAAAAAAAAATGTTCGGCTTCCTACATGTGTTACATGTTCATATATGTGGGCTTCTTTTTTTTCGATTCGTAAGAAAAGATCAGAATACAAATGCCGGTATGAACGTATTTTTATGTAATAATAAAAATAATAAATGTTTGTCATATATTTTTAGCTGCATGCAATATTTATCAGGAAGAGGGACCAGACTGCAAGGTCGTTTATAAAGTGTCAGGAAATTGCTATTACAAATCGCACTATAGAAATGAATGTAAATACACAGTGCGGCTCAGTAAAAGCAAGGAAGGTCAAGGAGAGGCGACCATTAAGTACGGAAAGGAATCCTTTAAAATCCTGAAAGATCAACACCTTCTGAAATGTGCGTATTTTAAGAATGTGGGTGATTACCTGCTCATCGAGGACAAGATGGCAGACAAATGCTGAATTAAAATAAATAATTATATGTTGTTCTACCTTTCTGAAAAAAAAATATCGTGAATAAATAGTTTTAACACGACCACCTGTTATTCAGTTTTTACCATGGCATTTTATGTGTGTAGATTATGCAAGAGATATTTTATTTGCTTTCAGAGACGAAATCATACATAAAATGGTTTATCAAGGGTAGTTACCGTGTGATTTGAGGAAGAATTCAGGGCGTTTATACCTTTTAAATTTTTAAGTTCATTATTTGAAACTGGAATCTATTTTATTTATGAAATCCCTTTCAGTTTCCCGAAGTACGATGAAAAAACATGGATTTTTAAAACTTTTTTCTCCTTCTGTATAAAAATCAATTAAATTAATTGAATGATGATCAAAAGTGCCTATTCCAAAATTATAAATTTTGTTTTCCCGGGATAAAGTATTCAGCGGGAACTCTGCTCCTAGGTATTAAACAGACGGATATGGAGATAGCGAACAGTATTCAAACTCAAAGTCCATAAAACAGTGAAAATTAGGAGAAAAAACGGACTACCGAAGCATCAGAGGTGGGAGCAGGTGCCACAGAGGAGTGATGAGCATCTCCTGCTAACGATCATACCCGCCATGTGTTTCTTGTCATGTTCAGAAAATAATGGGAAAATCCGTCGTCAATTCAGTGTTTAAATAATGGACTTACATTTAGTATGAAAAACGTCAGTCAGCATTTGACTCAATGATGAATTGTATTTGCTGACAGTCTTTGTCTCGACCATAGAACTTACGAAACGATAACTTAATTTAATCGAGACTGCTTATATTCTTGTTTTATCAATTTGCTTGTCAATAATGTATCCCGTCTTTAGAAATGCGTAGCGCATGCTCTTGCGTATCGAATCAACTAAAATATATATACTCCGTATGCAGGTGATGAAGGTATATTGCTGCATAATCAAGTGAAGTTGACGATAGAAAAGTTAAAGTCATCACGTTTATCATAGAGTTTGGCTGTTAGATTACCATTAACGTCTTTTTCAAGTTAAATATCCAAGTATGAAACAGATGTGTCAGACTCTGAGGTATTCTTTATATCAAGCTCACCAGGATATAACGTATCGACGTAGGAATGGAAATGACCATTGTTAAATGACAATACGTCGTCGATATATCTAAATGTCGAATTGAAGGCCACAGCAAGTGTTTTCTTATTTTCACGCATAAGATTTTGCACAAATTCTGCTTCATATGAATATAAAAATAGGTGTGCTTATAACGAGGCGCACTTGGTACCCAATGGAATTTCAATGAGGAAGTGCAGGATTATGATGATCAAGAGTGCCTCTTCCAACAAGAGGCCAATGGGCCTTATAGGTCACCTGAGCATCATGCAACAACTTTCAAATGATTGAATTTGGTTCATGTGTTTAGCTAGATGCTATGGCATTCACAAATTTGAAAGAGGAACAATTGCTAAGCATAACTATACACTATAGTATATATAGATAGTATATAAGTAGAGCCCCCCCCCCTTTGGTATCCCTGACCCAGAGGCCTTGAAATTCACAATTCAGGAAGAAAAGCCATTGTACATCATAACCATATAAATAGTTCATCTGCTTATTACTCAGGAGTAGAAAAAAAAGATTTTTATAGATGTTATGTATTTTCACTATATATTCATTATAGAGCCACACCCTAACACCTTAACCCCTGACCCTGGGGCCATAAAATTCACAATTGTGGTAGAGGCACTCTTGCTCATCATAACTATGAACGTAATTAGTTTATTTAATACCCAGGAGCGGAGAAAAAAAATTCAAAGAATTAATGCATTTTCACTATATAATCAATAGAGCCCCGCCCTAGCAGTAGAACCCCTGACCCTGGGGCCATGAATTTCACAATCGTGGTAGAGGACTCAATGCTGATGTTTTAAGTTATGGAATTACCCAGATTGGACGTCATTTAGAGGGCATCATTTAAAAACGATATTTTCAAAGTGAATTCATTCTTTCGTGTTCCTTTCCATGTTCGTAAAGTTTTGCAAATAAAAGAACTTTATTTGGTAATAACCAATATTTGCCCCCCAAAATTAAACTTTGACGGGAAAAATTTAATTATGTTCTTAAAGGCATTGTAAATAATAAATTTACATTATCTTTACTTGTTTTGTAAAGCTGAATTTTCATGCAGTGAATTAATGCTGTAAGTTTTATAAAAAATAAATATCCATGTCATTTGATAAAAACAGTATATTGATGAAAGGTTTTCTTTCGTAAATTTGCTCTACGTACATGTACATGGAGATTACAAAATTATTCTAGCTCAAAAATTCATTTAATGAATACAAACTGTGAACAGAGAAAACACGAATATCTACAACGTAATAGGAGGGATCAGGTGTCACGGAGGAATGGGCATCCCCTCTGACTGGTCGCATTTGCCGAGTGCTTCTTCTCATGATCGGGAAATAACGAAAAAAAACTTTTTCAGCGTTATTGACAGCAAACTTCTGAATTCTTTTATTCTTTTGTTGCAAATACACAAATAGCTTACTTGCTATTGCGTAATACTGCACAGCTTTTAGCAAAAGATTTCTATGGCACATACTATAATTTCTTTTATTTGTGCCATCCATCCACCTGTGACCTTATAATATAAAAACTTAAAATACAAATCATTCTATTTTCAATTTCGTTTATTTTTACAAACCCACAAACTCTTGCAATAACTTAAAATTGCTTACAGTACAAATGTATCTTCCATCTCTCCTATGCAATCACGTCTCCAACGGCCCTTTTTCTCCGTTTCTCTAGCTGAATTCAGGTGCTTATTTGCTTATTTCATCTACACTCATCGTTTTATACTGATTGTTGTTCCCTTTAAGGAATTCTGTTCAATTCCGTGATGTCAAAATCTGATGAATATTCAGTTGGAAAATGGAAAATTTTTAAGTCAACTACAAGAATAAAAACTAGATACTTGCTATGGTAGAGTGTGTTCTAGGGAAAGAATGCTAGAATTTTCTTTAACCCATTTGAACACGTCATTACTTAAAACTAATTTGCATTGGCCATTATTCAGTACACAATTACCCGGTATCGAGACTTCCATTCCAAATCAAGCATTTTGTTTACATGTCGTAAGAATAATTATTTCTAGCTATACCTCGTAAAGCGAGAAATTAAAATTTTTCTTCGGACAAAATGTAGCTTTATCAGCTTCTCAATGGGTACAAACTGCGTCAGTTCGTACGATATGACAACATATTGACGAATAGGAAAATATTTACATCTGCTATTTTTTTAGGATTTAATCAGAAAAGCATTTTATAGCCATTTGAAAACACACATCACGTATTTCTTAACATCATGTATCATTGGGTTACGCAACACTTTTTTCATGTATAATCTTACATTGATTTCATTTTCTGTAACATGTCCGATAAGGCAAGTTTCGATCAAAGCATACTATTATTAATGAATTCCGAATTTTCATCTCTTGCAATTTCACCTTACTGTTTTTACAACACAGCTGGCCATAACACAGAGTCATTTATCTTTCCTAATATCCTTGTTTTACCTCTTCAGGAAATAGAGAAATATTATAAAGAGTTTTGGAAAGCAGTGCCAGATGAGGACAGAGATTGGTTAAGCGAATCTTTGAAAGATAGAGAATTCGACTATGCTATGGGTCTATTGGAACTTAACGACGAAACAAGAAAAAGTTTGGAATCAATGAAAACGTCCATAGTCAAACTATTCACAGATGAAATCAATACTAAAATTGAAATACCCTCTTCATGGGCTTTAATGGAACAGTTATTGTATGATGGAGGTTGGAAGGTTTTATCTCTTGGAAGCTCAACTCATCTCTTCCCCATGAATATCAAATAAAAGGTGAAGAGAAAATGTCTAAATTTTTAAAGTGTTTCCATGACAATGGACTTCTTTTGTACTATGAAGAAGAAACATTACGAGAGCATGTAGTTTTAGATATTCCATGGTTTGCTAATGCCTTCAACAAGATAATTGCTGATAAAAATCATATTAACATCGACTGCAAGCGTAGATTGGTCAAAGAATGGAAATCTTTCAACAACACAGAACTTGAAGCTAAAGTGATAGAGGCACTGTGGCAAGATGAGCCTTCATACTTGGAGCATAAAAGTGAAATTTTGTCATATATGGAGAAACTGCAAATGATGGTACCTCTGAGCTCTTTCGGAACTGATCCAAATCGTGACATGTCATGGTATGTTCCCTGTATGAACAAAAAACAGTTTAATTTTAATTTTTGTGAGGAAAAATGGGAATGTTCATCAATTTTGTGCTTCCGATTCAGTTCTTTTGCAATGTTAGTTTTCTACAGACTAGTAGCATATTGCATAAGTTTTCTTGGATGGAGTGTTTCAAAAGATGGCAATGATGAGGGAGCAGTATGCCTTTATCAAACTGCAGCAGTGTTTGATCACAATCAGCATACTATTGTTGTTGGTATGTTTAATGATGATATTCAGTTAAAAGTGCTTCGACTCAGAGGGTTAACAGTAGATAAAGAAGTATCATATGAAATTGGAGTCGAAGTTGAAAATGCCTTAGAAAAATTAACAGAAACCTTTCTTGACCGAAAGAATTCCAAAAAGGATTCAAATGTAAAAGCACTATTTGTTCTGACAAAGATCTTTCGTTCACTCTTGCAAGTGAGCTGTCAAAAATTACGACTGAAGAAACACAGTGTAAGTGTCAACTTCAGGAGAGACATTTGATTAATGTACAAGAACTCTAGGTTTCTGGGGAAAGGTAAGTTTTCCCTCCTTTTTAACACCCATTCCTCAACAAACACATTATGCTTGGTCTATAATAAGAAGGTGCCGTAAGTTTGTAGATTTAAGGAGATACTACTAGATGATTAGCGATGGAAAAGGTTACTTAAAAATTGATAGCTGATGAGGTTTGCTGTGTTATGTAACTGACTCATTGTCATTTGTTCGATGTCAGTGAAATAAAATGATAGCATTTATGCTCAGAAAAAAACAAAATTTTGTTGATCCTATACCAGTTACCTATACACA